TATCCAGCAGCCCTACACTTTCAGATGACTCATTAGGACAGATGGAGGGAGGAAGATCAATGATTAACTTCTCTAGACACGCATTCTCCAATCACATATGCATCCATTTCTTATCTTACAGATTCAAAATTTATTTGGAGGGGATCTTCCAACTTCATAGAGATCCTATTCTTCCTTTACCTTTAACTTCCTATTTTTCATGACTCTCTTTTTTGTTTTAAACATGGTCAAGACTCACATGATATCAAAGAATATTAAATTCAAAAGCTCTATGTAAATACATTTAATCTCTGCAACAATGCTCTGATAGAGGAAAGAGGTATTGTCCTTGCTTTACAGATAAATATATTTAAAACCTGAAGAAGCCAAGTCTCCTGTCCCCAAAGTTAACAGCTGACTAAACTTAGGTTTTTCAAATCAGAATCCGGAGCTCATTTTGAATATTCAATACACCTAAAAATCAGTGTTTCATTACTCAGTCCTTCCTGCTTAACTTTTCATCCTCATTACTTGACCTAAATTCTTTTAGGGTCACCAAGGATCTCTCACCAAATCCAAGGCCATTCCTTCTATGATTCTGAACTCTGCTACATTTGGCTCTAATAATTCCACTTTCCAGATTATTCTCTTCCACCCTTCTCTCTCCAGTGACTTCCTTCTTGTTCTCCTTTTCTTGCCACAGATTGTCTTAAGCATCCTGGTACATTTCTGTCTAAATAAAACCACTCCATTTTGCAGTTCATCATGGAAATGTTTGTCCCAGTTATGTAGTTAGAGCTCTAATTTATATCTCTATTCCTGTAATGCTGCCATTTCCTGTTTGATGAACCTATTCCATTCTAGGCTGAATCACTTCTGGCCTTAGCAATTCCACTGTTGCCAGAGCCCATCCAACATTTATTTCTTAGCACTAATGTCCCAAAGGGTGGAATACAAGACTATTGATGGTATATTATAATGATTTTAAGTGGTCCACAGAGGAATATTTAAAATTATGTTTATTTTAAAACATGCTGGGGAAAACTGTAAAACCAAATAATCATGTAAATTTTTCTTTTAATTAAAAGACAGTCAGTTGAATTACAGAAAGACAGTAACAGACAGGTGGTTTTAAGATAAAGCAAAAATTGTGAATGGCTTGTTTAAGAAATAATGGCTACCGGGAAATCATGCAGCATAGAAGCTGAGCACTCAGGCTCTGGATCAATGATTCGAACACAACTCACTAGCTAAGTAATTTTGAACAAATTACTTAAATCTCTTTAAATCCCAGTTGTCTAGTTATATAGTGGGAATAAAGTAATACCTCTCCTAGGCTTACTATATGGATTGAAAGAAATACTGTAAAAATGTTCTTAGCACAGTGCCTGGCAATGGTAAGTGCTCGACAAATATTAATAATTACAATTATTCTTGATCTATACCGGCCATCATGCCTTCACTTGGAATCAACTGGGCACTCTCTATACTACAGGCGATTTTCCATATATCGATTTGCTGCCCCAACTTTCCCTCACCTCTTTGTATATTTTTATTTTTATCTTTTGGTACGAATTAAAAAAAAAAAAATCACACAATAACTTTTATTATTAGTCCTTAAAACTGTGAACATATAGGCAGTGGGAGCCAAAAGCCATGTTCCTCTGATTTACTGGGTCTTACAAAATTAAAAGAACCCATGATGCAAAAAAACCCATGATGCATAGTACACAAACTATTTGAAAGCTCTGATACTATTCTCACGGGTACATAAAGGTGGGGAAATGACAGGGTATTCTTCTGCTCCACTAAATATTCATCTGCTGAACCTTAGTTGTGGGTCTATTATTCTGTTTCCCACTCTCATTCATTCAATGACCTAACAAACTTTAGGCATATGCCAACTAGAGTACAAGGTGATGGGGACACAGAAACAGTATAGAAAAGGTAAATAGACCATTACTGGAATACAAACAAGTAAACAGAAGATTACCTAATAATCTGCTATGTAAATAATACCCAATAAAGTGTTTTCAATACTAGCTATGCTCCACAACGCTGCGCCTTCCTAATGCAGAGCACATTACATTACACTGACAGTAATTGTATTGCTATTTTGTGTCAGATTCTAGGTATCTGTTAACCATATCCAAGTTTCTGTCTCCCAACTAGACAAGTGTTGAAACTCAGTAACAGCCCTTGTTTGATCTAACTTGCAAGCAAATATGTGCACATACAAGTCCCAAAACATGACTAGCATTCTGTTAATCTAGAGCAAAAGAGCAACTAGAAATACAACTAGCGAAAGATCAGTATATATTTAGCCTTTCTGGAGGTGGGTAAAAACATGCAATAGAAAACTTACTGAAATTACCCTCTCTAAGAGAATACTTTTAGCCACAAAGATGTCCTAATGCATCAATTGCATTACTCATAAATTTAAAAAGTCCAGACTTCTAGGCAACAGTTAACAGACTTAGGCTTTCATTGCATTACCCTATTTATAAGGTGACAAGTTCGATTTACCGCAAGTACATCAGTCATAACTCAGACGATTTTGGATCTCTTTCACTGGAAGAATAAGGTTCTGTACCAATTTGTATGACATTTTATCAATGATCAGTCCTTGTCTAACATAAATATGGTATAAATACTTGCACAAGTTACTCAACTGATTTACAAATTGAAGTAGAGTTTGGGGGTGGAAGGAAACCACTCAGAGGGAAAGAGGACATAACAGAATAATCTTCACAGACATGTTATTAGTAAGAAAGGTGAGAGAGAGTAGAGGTAGCAGGTGGAGACGGGCTGGAATGAGCCGTAACTTCTGTATTTCAGCTGTATAACATACTGATTCCAGGGTTACCTACTGCACATGTAGACCATGAAGAAGAAATCTTTAAGAAACAAAATCCAGTATGGTAGTGTGAAAAAAGTGTTAAAAAAGAAAAAGAAAAGGAGAACATAAAATCTATTCCTTAAATTGCCAAAGAATATTTACTCCATTCTGAGAATGTGCAGATTACTCACTGCTTGGGAGAGGTACCTTCTATAATACCCGGCCACTCTCCCTCCACTGCTACTGCCCTTTTACTAGGCACTGGGCATAGTAATAAACTCTCTACACACATTATCTTTCTTGATCCCACAGCAAGCCTTCCAGGGAGGTGCTATTATTAATGTCATCTCCATTTTACAGATGAGGAGATACTGTATCAATATTAGAGGCCAGATATCAAAATTAAAAATTATATCTGTCATACTGTAGAGTCAGTTTTTACTCAAATGACCTTTAAATAGAAAAGGGTACAAAAATTAGCTTCTACTCCATCCCTAAAGTAGCTGTAATCCATTTTTACACCTTCACAAGCAATATGTTACTATACTGAAGTCATGTGGAAGAAACCACATTAATGATGGCGTGTCTTATTTCGTTTCCACAGTTCATAAAATTACAAGGAACAGGGAGGCAAGGCAGTCTGATAGTTTAGAGAGCATCCTCTTGGGTTCCGACAGCTTGGATGTGAATTTATACAGCACCACCAATAACTGCTGTTTGACCTTGGTCCAACTACTTTCATCTTTCATTTTCTTATCTGTAAAATGGGGATGATAATTACAGCGCCTCCCTCGAAGTCTTGTTGTAAGATTTAAAAAGACAATGTGTGTAAAGGGCTGATTACTAGGCTCAGTACACAGAAAAGGTCAACTAACGGTGGAGGGGAGAACAGCCACCAGACTGTTCATATTAGCTCACCAGTCCAAAATATTAAAAAAAAAAGAAAAAAGAAAAAAAAAGGAAAATGCCTGAGTTCTGAAAAATTCCATTATAGAAAGGGAGAGACTTACTATTAGATGATAAGCTGAAGCTAAAACTCAAATTCAACCTATTCCCACTGGTTTGAGGTGGGTCCGACAAGATGCTGCAGTGCATCCGAGACACACACCTAAAAATGGCTCCAGTCGGAGCAGCATCTTAGTCACCAGGAGAGAAGGTTAAACCTACTTTTAACCAATGCGGGAGGCAGGCTCGGTGGGCGCTTCAGTATTGCCCTGTCCTTTCTCCCTGCAGGAATACACTCTCGAGCACTTAATCAAGGGTCCTGATGCTTCTGGTACATTCCAAACGAAACCCTCCAGCTCGGCCGCCTCCGGTACAATCTCCAGCACCCAGCGGGCAGGACTCCCTCGGCCTGCGCTGCAGACCGGCCAACGCGGAAATCCGGGTGGGTCCGGCAGCCAGCACGCACCAGGCACGTCGGTTATCTCCGAAAATCATCGCCAGTCAAGTCAGAACAGACACACAGCCCTTCCCCAAGAATTTGACGCATTCCTCCCCGGCAGAGGAAGAATTCAGCAGGACTGCGACCGGCGCTCCGGCCCGTCTCCGAGTCCGACAGTGGGCCTGGCCCGTACACCGCTGGCACCCCCGGGCCCGCTGAGAGCGGGGCGGCGGCGGCGGAGCGCGGCGGACCACGCAGCTGAGCCGAACGAGAGGCCTAGGGGGTGCGAGCGGCTCCGCGAACCCTCGGCTGGAGTTGGGGCGGCGCGGCCCCGGCGGAAGCGGGGCTGGTCGCGACTCCCCAGCGCGCCTCCCGCGGAGCCCGGTCTGTAACCCGGGCTCCGGGGCCCGCGCGGCGCGGCGCCCGCCGCACTGCACACGCACGGGAGGCCGACGGCAAAGGCCCCGGCGGGGCCCGGCGCGGGGGGACCGCGATCCCCGCCCCTCGCGCGGGCTGGGCACCCCCGCCGTGCGCCGGCCGCGCCGGGGCGGGTGGAGAGGCCGACGGGTCCGGAACTCCCGCTGCCGACCGCGTGCGGCGGGTGCGCCGCCGGCTTCCCGCTCCCCGCCGAGGCCGAGGCTCCCCCGGGCTCGGAGAGGGCGGTCGGCGCAGAGGAAGGACGGGCTGCCCGCGCCCGGGCCCTCTCCACGCGGCTCCGGTCTCGGGCGCTCCCACGCCCGCCCGTCCCGATGGCGCCCGCGTTGGGCGCCGCTCCTCCACCCGCGCTGCTGTCCTTACCGGCCAGGGTGTCGAGCCGAGCGTGTGTGCGCACCTCGAGGTCTCGGCGAGCTCTGATCCAGGGGCCCGGGGCGCGGGAGGACCACCCGACCGGCAGAGCCGCAGCTGCGGATGGACAAACCGCCGAAGCACTTTCGCGGCCGCCCGACAGGGAGAGAGCGAGCGAGAAAAAGAAGCAAGATGGCGGCTAGCCAGCCCTACGTATGACGTCATGCCGCGGCGTACGTAAAGCGATCTCCGCAAGACCGCCCCCCGGCGCACAGACGGCCGGATCACGTGAAGCGGCCGTGGCGGCGCAAACCGGGGAAGGCGACGTCGCCACCTGCTGGACGGAGGGAGTTCCTGCAATCAGAGTTTCCGGCGCCCCTTAAAGATTGAGTCTGAAAATCCAGGGGCTCTTGACTAGACCACGATGACAGGTTGATGTGACTCACGGAAGAGAGCACTCTTGTATGTGTTGGATAGGTGTGTGAATTGCTTCACCACAGTTTGGCACTGTGTACCAAAATTAAACTATGAATAATTTTTAATCTTGATACTTGACAATATCCTGATATTTTTCAGAAAGGTACATATTCAACATTCATAATACCAAAACCTCTCTGTTGATAAAGACATAGACAAATGCATTAGGAAACATCCATATTGTATAATATATTGAGGTCATTAAATTCAGAATAACTTTTCATGACCAGGAAAATACTCCTTATGCCCTAATAGGCCTGAACAGTATAGAGGCAGTGGAGATGGAGAGAAGTAGACCGGTATATATTTGGTTTGGTATATATTTTGGAGCTAAAACATACTTTCTTGTACCAGCTGATTGCTTCTAAATGGGTGGTGGGGAGTGTGAATTAAAGAGTCAATGACAACGTGTAGATTTATGGATTGAATAACCGGGTGGATGGCTGACATTTATAGAGACTACGGAGATGGGAGAGGAAAGGAAAACAGTTTGATTGGTAGAGCAATAAAAATTAAGTATTAAAAAATTGGGAAGAATTAAATTTTGGACATGTTAAATTTGAGATGTAAATGCCCAACTGTACATCAAATATGCCGTAGACATGCATAACTGGAGCTCAGAGGGGAGGTACTGCAGACAGAGATTTCAGCTCCATAGATGTGTGTTTAAAAATGGTGGGAGCCTGGCTGGTGTGGCTCAGTGACTGAGCATTGACCCATGCACCAAGAGGTCGCCTGTTTGATTTCGGTCAGGGCACATGCCCAGGATGTGGGCCAAATCCCCGGTGAGGGGACATGCCCAGTGGGGGGCATGCAGGAGGTGGCCAATCAATGTTCTCTCTCATGAATGATGTTTCTCTCTCTTTCCCTCTCCCTTCTTCTCTTTCTAAAAATCAATGAAGGAAAAAAAAAATGGTGAGAAGTGATAAGATCACTCAGAGACAGAGTGGGGAAAAAAAGAAAAAAGAGCCAAACCGAAGGAACAACAACATTTAGAAGTTAGGTGGAGGTGGAGCGCTTAGCAACGAACAGAAGAGAAGCCAGACAGCTGGAAACCCCCAAGGGGATGATGTCACAAAAGCTGGGAGAGGAGAGTTTTACAAGAAGGCGTGAGCAACCACCTATGTGAAATGCTGCGGAAAGGTGAAGGGATGTGAAGGAACCAGATGTGCCCATTGTATTTGGCAGTTTGGAGGTAGGTCACTGGTATTTTCTGCAAGAAGATTTGGTGGAACGTTTGAAGCAGAAAGCCATATGGGTTGAGCGAAACAGATGTTGAGAAACTGGAGACAAGAGAAACAAGTCTTTCCAGAACTCGAATTCTGCCGTGACAGAGAAACAAGATGGTACCTGGAGTAGAGAGGGACATGCTAACGTATTGGAGACAGTAGATCGTGTTTGTGCGATGATGGGAATAACCCGGAAACAGTACGTGGGCAGCAATTATGTAGCAGAGAAGAGGAACCTAAAGGAGGCAAGTCTGTGGGAAGGTGCCAGGGGTGGGGACAGAGCTGATCCAGGGCCCAGCTTTGAAGGAGAGATAGGTACAGCCCTAGGGACTTTGATGATTTGATGGTAGGAATAGCAGGGAAGTGGGCTGATGGCTCCTGTTTCTCAGTGAAGGAGGCGACAAGGCATTCTGCTGGGAACGCTGGGTGTGGAGGGCTTTGAGCAGAAGAGGATCCAAAAGTGATCTCAGTGAGTGAAGATGCAAGCCTAGTGTGAGCAGCCTGGAGGATGGGCGTGCTCTTCGAGCGCTCTCTGGACGGGCGCGATTATGGATGTTAATTAACTATGCCAGTCCATTGATTTCTCCTGCAGTGGTCAGCTCTTCAGTACAGCCACAGAGAAGTCAGGAAGATTCCTCTGGGCTGGGCTTTTCCAGGCAGGTTTAATGGGAAGAGGTGAGGCATCTGTAAATGACAATCATTATAATATTGTGTTTGAACATATGGTGTACGCGTAGCAAATGGTAACTGGGTCTACTTTATGAATTATCTATGGTATATTTTATTCTATTTTTTCCATCACCATTTATCCCTCCTCTACCCTCGTCCACCCCTCACCCCGGACACTCACCACATTGTTGTCCCTGTTCTATGGTATGTTTTAAATCCAAGGATTTCCCGCCATTTCTTTTGATCAGAGCTGTCTTTCCCACCAATGTGGTCATAGAGTGGTCACTGAAGCAATGTTAGAATAAATAAAATAATAAAGAGGTAGCCCTGGCTGGTTTTGCTTAGTGGTTAGAGCACTGGCCTATGGACTGAGAAGTCGCAGGTTCGATTCCTGGTCAAGGGCACATACCTGGGTTGCAGATTCAATCTCGGGCCCTGGTTGGGGTCATGTGGGAGGCAACCAGTGGATGTGTCTCTTGCATATGCATGTTTCTCTCCCTCTCTCTCTCTCTTTCTCCCTCCCTCTCTTCCACCCTATCTAAGAATCAATGGAAACATATCCTCCGGTGAGGATTAACAAAATAAACAATAACAATAACAATAATGATAATAATAAAGAGGTCAATCACAGGCACTCACTCCCCCCACCTTGACATCAATGGTCTTTTGAAACGGAGAAGCTTGGCTGCTGTGGGTCCTTGCCTGGGGTGTGCCTGCTGCTGTCCCCAGGAGCAGAGGGAAGCGGTACTGTGGCGACTTTTCCACAACTTTCCAGGCCCTGGACAAGCAGGCTCCAGCACGCAGACGAGCTTACGTGAACCAAGGTCATGAAACAACACACGTTGATCCAAACAGAATAGTCACTGGTTCATTTCAAGAGCTATCGTTTATATCCCTGAGTACTACAGACTGCAAAGCCAGTGCATTTTCTACACAGACCTCCAGGAGACCGAGGGCATTATCAGAAGGTTGCTGGGTGAACAGAGATTCGGAAGGAGTGGAGATACGTGTATAGACGGTTCCCGTTCGTCTCTCTCTGGGATGGGGTGACTTTGTCCCAAAGATAGAAATACTGGGTGTCTGGTGGTGGCAACATTTCCACGATGATCTCTGATACAGTAGGGACATGGTGCTGTGCTGATGATTTGGGCCCCTTCTCTCCTTGGCAGCACTTGGATGGGTACCGGTCCTCTTGTGCCCCTGTGTGCTCCCTTCTCTGTTTCCATGGCGACCCAAACCTCTTAGCAATATTCTTGCAATAGAAAGCAAGTTCCAGTCAAGCCAGGGCAGTTTGCATTTGAAAGATGACTTTGCTTTCCTGTGCTCTTATTTGTTGTATGTGATCTTGAAGTTTAGCTCTCAGAGACCAATCTTATTTCCCTTATTTACAATATTTGGGGGGTGGGGGGAGAATCTCTAGGTGTTGGCACTATTTCCAAAGTCAAATAATGTTCTTTTATAATTTACTTTGTTTTGGCTTATTTGCACCTCTCCTAATACTCCTTCAGTGTAAATAAATTTGTCGTAACAAAACATTTTCGTGACAGATTGAATGAAAACTTGTCATTTATTTTCCAGTTCTGCTTTTTAAACAATCGTTTTAGGGTAACATTATCAAATTGCCAACTGGGGATATAAAGTCAGGCAAACTAGTTTCTTATTAAAAACAAATGGATTCTCCGAACGGTATGACCTATTTCCTTTGTGATTGCCCAGCCTTATTAAGCTAATGGTTTTATTCAATTTCTACACTTCTCATTGGAATTGATTCTATAAACCTGTGGGCGCTGAAGATTTATGGGATATGCGTCTCCCCAATATCCGAAATTAGAGTGTTCCTATGAAACCCTTCGTAAGCCAAAATGGTGTAAAGCGAAGAAACAATTACCATTCATTTACATGAAAAAAATACTGCGTTCCCAGACTGAATCAAATATGCTTAATTGTGTCCAGTTTTACGCTGCACGAACACCCTTACGCGCTCTCTCGGGCTTTTCTGAGACCCTAGGACACGTCTCCCTGACAGATGCACAGTCAGTGGCGATGCGTCACGGATGCCCCCAGACTCGGCAGGCCTCTGGCGGCTTTGAGCTGAGATGCTGAGCGGGTAGGGCAGGCGCCGGGCGGGCACGCTCGCTGCTCCTGCTGGGTGTGGGCACTGCCGGGCGCGCCTGCTGCCAGCCCTCGGGCGGAACACTGCCCGCCCTTCGCCCTTTTCTTCAGGCTCCTTTCGGCGAGCGAAAGAGGGACTAATGCAAGTCCTTCGTGGGAGCAAAGTGGCGTAAGATGAATTTTCAAAAAGCAGGGGAGACCAGTATTAGGTGAACAATAAAAGAATCCCTGAAGGCATCATGCTTTATTAGTAGTGATGTTTCCTTCTTTTTCAAAAAGATACTTTTTTATTGATTTTTTTAGAGAGAGGAGGGAGAAAGAGAGAGAAACATGGATGTGAGAGAGATGCATCGATCGGCTGTCCCCTGCACGCCCCCACGGGGGATCGAGCCTGCAGCCCGGGCTTGGGCCCTGGCTGGGAATGGACCGGGACCTCTCAGTCCCTGGGACAACGTTCAGTCTACTGGGCCCCAGCGGCTGGGTGTTATAGTGCTGTTTCTTTTTTTTAATTAAATGTTTTTAGAGAGAGGGAGAGAGAAACATTGATCAGCTGCCTCCTGCATACTCCCTACCAGGGATTGAGCCTGAAACCTGGGCATGTGCCCCAGCTGGGAATCTAATCAGTGACCTCCTGGTGTGTAGGTCAGCTCTCAACCACTGAGTCACACTGGCCTGGCAGTAGTGATGTTTGTTAAAGGTTTATGTGCCTGTGGCA